CAATTAAATTGGTCAACTGATCAGCTGATCAGCTGATTAGTTGACGTTCGAAGCATTACAATTTTAATTCTTTTCTCTCAATACTTGAACCTCATTGGTCCGTTACCTGTGTGGATATGAGAAAACTATGCGGATATGAAATGAAACTATGCGGATATGAAAGTAAACAGCTGTAAAGTGAAACTTTTCAATTCTAAGAACTGGACTGAAATGGCTACTTTAAAAAACGGTCGTAGGTAAATGAATATTTTGTGTAAAAATACGTTACCTTACTTTTCTGCAACAACACTATAGCTGATGTAAATTCAGTAATCTTTGTAGACTAATTACTTTAAGAGATTAGATTCAGCAACCGGGTCTGTTTTCAGTTGAAACTTATGTTTTTGAGGAAAACAAATACCAGTCAATACATGTCTTAAAATATAATAATTAAGGAATTACAACAAACTGAACAGTGAATTTAAAATATTTTGAACTAGTACGTCAAAAATTACAAATAATAACATTATACATTATTTTGTGAGAACGAGTTAACGTCCCGTGGAATTCAAGTACCATAATGTAATAAAATCTCATAAATAATCCACTTGAAATGTAAAAGATTATTAACAAAGGAGTCTTACAGTATGAAAACTAGAAGAAATGATAACCTTGTTTCTTTATTCTGTATTGCTATCTTGCATCGAAAGGGTTAACATTATTGTGCTCTACTTATTGTTGTTTTATCAATATCATATGCGTGTTGTTTGTAATAAACATGTGAAACGTGCATTGCATGTTGTAACAATGTTGTACATGTTCAACTGTTATACAAGCTAAACATGTAGGTGTGAACGTGGTCATGGAGAAATCTCAAGGGATTTGTCTGTGTTAATATGCTCCCGTGTGTTGTAAATGTCTATCAGTTAATATATTCAGTATTCAATAAATGAGAATTAAATTTGGTAAACTAAGTTTAAAGGTACTATACTTCTTAACACACTTAAAATTTAACATCGTTAAATCATTAACTAAAAATAAAAATAAATATTTTGTTTAGTTTAGTCTCTTAAATTTGACAGACAATATGAGTAGCCCTACTCAAAACTGGTGACCTACACACTATTCACATGTACATAATCTTGGTTCTTGGAATATACTATTCTACATCTTACACAATCGACACACTATTAGTCTGTTCAAAAAACGGAGGCTATTTAAGTGGACTAGTGTACATGTTGCTCGAATTCGAGCAATTACCAAGTATTGCAGAAGTTATTTCAAACCGAATAACAGTCATATTTACAATGAGTTAAAACGAGTCAACTCAAAGATTACCTGTGTGTAACTCGTGCTCATGGTAATACTCACAATGTTTATAACAGTTCAATATACTGTAATCAACATTTCCTGTGAATATTTGATAATGTATCATAAGCTGACATTGTTTTTTATAGTCCAGTCAATGAATTATCCAAAAGTAGGTGTAGAGTGCGTGAGCAGGTAACTAAGCGATTCCTTCAGAAACTTGTTCAGGGGGCTTAGGGTGTTAACATACCAAAAGTCCTGACTCCTAGGTGGTGAGCCAGGGGGTGGAGGGGGGAAAAAGGGGGGAAAAAGGTACGCATTTTGGGTTTTTTGATTATATCTCGAAAACTATCAACTTTTTGTATACTATAGTAAATTATAAAATTGAAGAAGATTAAATTTTCTACAAGAAAAGTATATAATGTGTTTATTTTGGTTCAACAGATTACGAGTTATAACTTATTTAATTGATATCTTATTAAAATACTCCTTCCATAAGAAATACATGTAAATTAGTATGCGATATGGGGCGAATCCTATCCGCCCAAAGGAAATATAACTGATATTCTGGAAATCTTGACAAAATTTCCAGTAATTTGACACTTAAATCATGAAATTTTGTCAAAAATTAAAGCGAGGGTGAGCGTTTAAAAATGGGATGATTTAAGGTTTTTTTTATATTTCCAATAAAAAAACACCAAAACTCGACATTTTGTTACCTCGCCCTTGCCTTAATTTTGGATCAATTTTAATGATTAAAGTGTCAAATTACTGGAAATTTTGTCAAGATTTCCAGAATATCATTTATATTTCCTTTGGGCGGATAGGATTCGCCCCATTTCGCATACTAATTTTCATGTATTTCTTATGGAAGGAGTATTTTAATAAGATATCAATTAAATAAGTTATAACTCGTAATCTGTTGAACCAAAATAAACACATTATATACTTTTCTTGTAGAAAATTTAATCTTCTTCAATTTTATAATTTACTATAGTATACAAAAAGTTGATAGTTTTCGAGATATAATCAAAAAACCCAAAATGCGTACCTTTTCCCCCCCCCTTTTTCCCCCCTCCACCCCCTGGCTCACCACCTAGGAGTCAGGACTTTTGGTATGTTAACACCCTAAGCCCCCTGAACAAGTTTCGGAAGGAATCGCTTAGTTACCTGCTCACGCACTCTACACCTCATTCCTTGACTGGACTATTAGTGTTTTTATACAAACATTTCCTGACTTATAAAAAATTCAATAATTAATAACTTATATCACTAAACACAAAACAACATCCAAAACTATAGGCCTACACATGTTTAATGTAACATGGATTATTTACACATTGAATGTTTACAATTAACATATGTTCTTCTCACTTTTAATTTCTGACAACAGCTGGAGTTTCATAACAATGTTTGTTTCCCATGTTAGGCAGGGTGCACACTGGAGAAATCCGTTTCAGGAAACCGATTTCATGAAACAAGAAACTTTAGTTGCTCGCAACAGATGGATTAGTTTAACACAGGGCAGTGCTTACTGCGTTGCATGAAACTGTAATTTAATTTGTTTCTTGCAACTGGTTTACATGAAATCCAAAAAACTGATTTCGTATAGGCTTCAGTTTCACGTTTCTATTGGATTTATTGATTTACCTCAGTGTATTGTTATTTTTCCTCAGCACTCAGAGCTAACCTCAGGTTGGTGTCCTTCTTTGTTATTAGTGGGCTAAGTAATTCCACCAAACGTTCAGAAAGAGGCTTTGGCATTCTAAAAAACCAAAAAAATTGACAGGATCACTGCATAATTAACAAGCTACAATGTAAGTACTGTGTTGACCATCCCTAATCAACGGGTGGACCCAATATACTTCCTTCTTTTCGTTTTCTTTAGCCACCACCAATATAGTTACATCATCATCCAAATCTATATAACGAAACTGATGGAATCCCATTTCTTCTGTGTGCATTTGTTAAAGAAATGGTTTCCTTGAAACCAATTTGATGAAACAAGTTTCCTGAAACGGGTTTCTCCAGTGTGCACCCTGCCTTAATCGTATGGAGAAATACGAAACCTTTAAAGTTTCGTAGGGGGCCCCAGGACCTCACTCTCTAATTATTTCCCTAAAAATAAAGTTTCCTGCACAACTTACGCTCTTTCCAATGACACCAAAAACATGTCAATCGGTTCAGTAGTTTCGGAGGAGTAATTGTCACAAAAAACCTGCTTGCATATTAAATAAGTATAGATGTTCCCCCGCTACATTTTTTGCTTATATGTATAATTATGTAGCAGCTAATTCAAGTTTTGACAAACCTCAGCTGTTGCGTTATTTTTTTAGATGAAGGGTGAAGTAGAGAGGATAAGATTTTTCCTCTAAAACAGCCTAAATTTTGTAATATTGCATATATTTTTTTATACGGTAGAGTAGAGTTGTTAATATGATCAATACTATATCTAGCTATACGGCTCAAAACTAAAAATCTAACCATTGAACTCAACACTAAATCTAACTATAGAACTCAAACTAAATATGTCTCAAAACTAAAACAATTAAAAGTTCTGTTCCTTTGTTGTGTCTATACAAAGCAAAAAAACACAATGAAAATCCTATAGAACAAAGTAAGAAACTACTTGATAACTTCAGACAAAATCGAACCATGAACAAATTGTTTCACTCAGGAGAGCAAACTCTAAAGATAGAATAATGTGTAAATGTGAGCTAACGCTTTAGTGTCAAACAAATTAAACCAACAACTTAAGCTTCTTACAACGTCTTGCAAGCTTAAAATTCATCGTGTGTTGAAAGCGTCAACCGCTCTTTAGCAGTCTATTGTTGTGAGCTGCGTTTGTACACTCTTAACTATTTCAAGCCTTGTCTTTCTTTCATCTTTACGCTACCAGTGGCAAGCTGTGATTATATCTATGCAGCCATGCGGTTCAAGTCAGAAAATATACATAGGGCTAATATTCCCGTTATTTTAAAGCAAAACAAGGTCAAGGGTCACTTAGTGACTATTTTTGTTGTTAAAAACATGAAACCACAACAATAATCATATAAGAAATTATGTTAGAGCAGTCAGGTGTTGACCTAGTTACTGTAACCACACCGGTTATTCTGTTGTGCGTTGCGGTGTAGCTGCAGCCACGTCAAAGACATCACATTGAAACATTGATGACCTCCACCACACAAACTTCTACTGCAGCCAATCTGGTATTGGTTTACAGTACTATGTTGGAAGCCGTGAAAACTTCATCCGGAACTTTTACTTATACAAAATGTAAGCCACATTAGTATAGTGAACATTTGTAGCCTATCCCCAAACAAACTAAATTTGATATTTATTCTACCTTCTCAAAACCCAGGCCAAGTTAAATCGTAAATATTATTATGTAATGTACGACTCAATTTGAGATGTGCTCCAATATTAATACCCGGCATGTGTATGATGTTTTTGAATAAGCTGTTCGTTATTTCATAGAAGAATATGTGCTAAACATTGGGAGAAAACTTTAAGGGAGTCAGTACAGAACAAGAATGAACTGATAAAATTTACCACGATCAGGACGCGAACCACGTCATCGCTCCCACGGAGGGCTACCAACTGAGCCACGTAACACAGATTACAACATAACAGCCGTATTTTACAGGACGCACAGTATAACGCAACCCCTTATTTTAATAAAAATATTCAAACTTTGAACGATTTTGTTGCAGACATGTCGCTGAAGCGGTGTCGCCGGTACAGCGAGCGTTTCGAACTTCACCCCAAAGAGAAGAGCAACTACGGCACCATCACCGACCACGACAAGCAGAGCATACTTCCGGTCAGTGGAAAGTAAATTCTGGTACATTAGAATAGACAATAGTACCGCATAAGGGAACATGCCAATTTACACTTCAGATAACTAGGTGGTTTAGTAATACTACATATTATTTCGGTTATTTACAAAATGATGTGGACATTTCCATCGCGACCGGTATTACCAATGTTTACAATTTTCTTTCATCCGGAAGCTAATGGTGGATCTTCAGCATACCATGGAACACCAACCCCGTTAAAGTTTTTTTTTTTAATATTGAAAACCCACAAGAATAATTAATTATTGTGTGTATTAGTATAGCACGACCTACATTCAAATGCAATAACTTGTTAGGATTTTTCTAACCAAGAGTGATGGAGGATATCCGCAACTAGTTTGTAAAATGCCGTCGAATGATCTTCGCCAATAATCAATAAATTCAATTAAATCGACATCATCTTCAGTTAGATTTTTGTTTGATTTTAGACCGGTTTTCATTAAGATTTATAGCTTATAATAACTAAAGCTGGAGCTATTCCCACATCAACCAAATATACTAGGGTTGCTTTCAGAGAGGCGAAAGCCAGTTGAGCGGAACAAACGTGATTTGATATTTGTATAAGTAACTAAATGTAAAAAGGTCAATAGATTTATTTACTAATGCTGGTTTTAAAGATTAAAATTATAATAATTCAAATTCACCTCTTCGAGAAGTGCATTATGGTAGTTTTGACCAGGAAAATATTACAGTAGTTGGAATCTGATATTAACATAAAAAAGGCATTAAAGTATAAAAAAGAGAAAGGAAATTTAACATTCAAATTCAACTGTAGCCTACAACAAAAACATTGGACTTCATTTTTCACCCTTAAAATTGGTTAAAGTATTTAAGTATAAAAAAACAGTACCTATTAAAAAACGAGTATTGTATAACAACAGGAGAGGAAATGTGACATTTAAATTCAACTGTGCAGCATAAACATCGGTTAAACTCAGCTTTCTTTGCTGGAAATAATTTATGATTGTTAATACCAAGTATTCTTGATGGAGGATCTGATTGTAATGTAACTGGAATGTAGGTCTTCGGCCATTATTAGGACGATTTAGCGACGGCATTTTAATACTGGTCTTAATAATACCATTGGCCATTGAATACAGTAGATTTTGATGAAAATGCTGGCTACAAATTCAACATGGGGATGGAATGTCTAGTTGTATTGATAGTCAAAGATAAAACATAGGCCTACGAAAAATGTAGGGCTATTTTAATGTAAGACTCAAATGTAAAACGCCTTTAAAAGACTAAAATAAACTGAATTATCAGTCATGTATTTCAATGTGTAAAAACGTAAAAACTGGAAAAAGACTTCCTTATTGAACAATAAAATAAGATGGCTGAAATGTAGGCATAAACATAAGTAATAAGTAAACATCGCATTCAGCTGATTTAAGTGAAAACAGAATAATATAATAAGTAGGGAAGACATGCCTTAAATATACAATGTAGATAATATAATTCGAAATTAGTAGCCTACTTCTGGACAGGCCTAGACAATAATTATTCATACCGTGGATTCTATAAGCCAAGGTTTACTTATTACGGTTGTAACTGGATGGTACGTGGCTTGGCAATCAAATAACAGTATTTATATAGGATAGGCTACTGTTATCAACATTTGAAATTACTGAACTGTTACCAAATTACTGTTTCACAAAATGCAGATTCCATTTTCAGCCGAGCCATTAAAATGAGGATTTGCCGAACAATTATTAATATTACAGAATAGTATATAATGATATACAACTTTTCACATTCCATAAATTATATGTTAGTTTTGCTATGGTCAAAGGTCCAAATCCAAATGTTCTCTTTTCTTTTGGTCAGTATGTAATAATTTGCTAGAATCATTGACTTTATATAAAGTCAAAGCTAGAATACTGTAGATGGTTTGTTAAGTTAAGACCATATGCAATCATTTTTGAAATCGTTTCCCCGTTTAACCTTAACCAACTAATCCATTCCAAAAGATAAAAATTATATGGTGCAACACAAAAAACAACCCGATCACCTACCTATAACCTACACTTTACCTTCCTAATCTAACCTTACTTCAAAATACTTAATGTAGTCACGAATACTTATAAACCCCGACCTACCTCCCCACATGCCTAAATTAGATCAGTGTTCAATCTGCGTTTTATCAATAAGTGTAATAACTTACTGTACCGTCGATGTAATTCAACATAATATAACCTATGAGGGATTATCGGATTAAATATCGATTTCGATGCGGTTCGATATATCGCTTATTAAATCCTGATTTCTAACATTGGCTGTTTCTAATCAGCTGGCAACACAAATAGGTTCCCAAGAAAATAGTCACCGGTCCGTATCCCTCCGCTCCTTGTTTATGCTCCGCGCATTGAGAAAGTAGTTCCGTATATTTTCTCGATTTTCAGTGAATTCCGTGCCTTAAAAAATGTTTTAACGGCATTTTCTTGTTTATTAAAATAATAGGAATGGTTTAAAAACGTTTAAAAGAAAAGTATAGAAAGTTCAGAAATACCTTATGATTCTCTTGCTTACATTTTTCTTGTAAACAAAAAAACTGTCATAACTACTTTAGTCCCATAAGCCTAATGTTAAAAATTTGAAATTTTAAGTTCGTTTTAAATTGCATTAGCATTATCTAATTGAAATTTATTTGTTTACAAACCATCTCATTATTAGTCTAAGTAGTCTTGTTAAGTTTGGCTGAAATGTGTTCAGCCGTTATTGAGTGATGGTGTTATATTGTTTGCATTGAAGTTGATCCCAAAGAGCTTCGCTCGCTTCGCTCGATCCGCTCAATAATATAATTCGTTGATGTTAATATACTTTATTGATAGGTGTAATTTAATTTTTGCATTTCATTGAAAACATTATGTCATTTGAGGGACAAAAATAAGCAATCGATTTCATATTAAGATTGAAATCTATATGCATGTTTTATATATTAAATAATAAATAATAATAAACTAATATCATTTGTTTAATTTTTAACGTAACAATTATATTCGAAGAATCTTTGAGGCAAAATTAAATCATTATGGGAAACAGAAAAAGTGAACAGTTGCGGAATCGTTTACATTCTAAAGCAACTTTGAGGAAAGAACGGATTGCGTTGCACCAGCTTCTAGGTATTAACAACTACTTATAACAACAAACTAACAAGGTATAAAAACAGTTTGTTCACTGCTTTTTCTTTAGTCTAAACCAAAGCAAATTAAATTTACAAAACCATTAATGACAGAGTACCCAAACCTATAGTAAACCTATTGTGAAACATTGGTTGGGTCTTTATTATGTGCACTCAATTACAGTAGTATTGTTTTGGTTTTTGAAACTGCTCTATTGGTATTGTTTTCGTTTTTTGAAACTACTCTTTTGGTATATTTTTTTTTAATTTGTAAAGGGAAAAGTAATCAGCCAGTTCTGTTAGAAATTTATGTTTATAACTGATTTAGTATGATAGGTTTATAAGGTTAACAAATTAATGGTTTATCTAAATGTGTATCGTTTACACATAATATTGTAAAATATCAATGATACGTACTTGACCAAAGGAGAGTCCCTATCTTACGGAAGACGCCAAGTGATTCCTCCAAGCTAAAGGCCTCACAATCCTGGTAACACCTGGAGATTTATGGAAGAGAAAACCATTTGTCTGTTGAATCTGAGCTGGAATCAACGTCCACACACTTTACTACCAGATATGCACTGTCATGATATTAATTATTAATGTATGATATTTATCTTAGTTGAACTTTAGAGCTTAACACAGTCAAACGTTCAAATGAACAATTAATATATTAGCACATATTGTTAGAATATTTTGGTATAGTTATAGTTAAATTCATCCGGACTAAGTTGCTTTGGTAGTATAAGATGTAGTAGAAGCCTATACATATATTAAACGTTTTAAAAATAGTTTATTTTTATTAACAATACTAGCTGGCCTGGCCCGACAGATGTCGTCCTGTCCTAATGTGGTATAATGTCTAAAGCTCGTTCATTTTCAAGATGAGCTCGTTCGCATGGCTCAATCACGTCCTGGTTGAAGTTCGTTCGCAACGCTCACTCACCTTTTGGTTCAAAATTAACTGTTGTCATAAATAAAAAAAAAAATATAGTGCTGCACCCTGTTGGTAAACCTATTAACTTTTTAATGTATTGAGCATCACAAAATAAAATTGATTAGTTGAACCAGCTGTTAAGATTCTTTAATTCCATTTAAATATGAGTACTCATAAGGTTAACATGGGAAACTCCAGAGCCACTGGGGCGGAGCCCTTTGGACGGATCTGCACCAAACTTCATACAAACCATCCTTGAATAATGCTTAATAAAGCCTGAAAGATTCATTACAATCTGTCGAGTGGTTTCGGAGTCCATAAAGGACAAACAAACATACATTGGATTTTATTATATACTAGCTGGTTCGACAGACGTTG